GCTTCTCCAATGGTGGACCCGTCTTTTGGTTAAAGAATACCAAATGAACCAAACCATGAAGGGCTGCTACTTTGAGAAACCTCCACAAAGGTCAAAGTAGTACATTCCCGATTGCAAGACACCCCTCAGAAAACATGGCAACTGAGGTAGGGTACCATTTGGAGGAAAGAACCAAATCCATTCTTGGCGCCTGGGGGTGGTTCTTGCAGTCCACTCTTGGGCTGACATGTCGCGGCGTCAGGGTTGTGGAATTCAGGCCGCTTTGACATTTGGTACTGGCATGTCAAAAGTAGAACGCGGGAAACAAACACACGACCCAATTTCCACGGCTCGCATGGCATCGGAAAAAAGCGCCGAATGCCAGCTGAGATTCATTGTGACTAGCGGCTCGGGATTTGATGGTGCCTCACGCGTTGTTGCCCTAAATTGGGGGACCTTCACACATGGCTGGTGGACTGACATATATTCTCCTCTATACTTGGCACACATAAACAAACCGACGATCGGGGTGCTCCCCCTCCCATCTTGCCGTTTCCTTACGCTTCACCATCCCCAAACATTTACTTCCCCCCCCCCCCCCCCCGCATGTTTGGCATGCCTTGCCCACCACCCCCTAAAATTGGAGGGGGGGCCGAATGAAGCTCGCTCGGCCCCACGGCTCCGGGCCTTGACTCTGGGGATTGGCACCGTCTGGGAGTCATAAACGATTGGCCTCTGCAGCACTTCCTCCTGACATCCAGAGAGACAACCTACACAAAACAACCAAAAATTTCGGAGAAGCCAAACAAAGCAAAACTTGGAGCATGAGTCAGAAGAAAGCCAGTGAGTGCAGGAGAGACATCTTGAACATGAAATTGGATCGCGAAGGTCCTACAAATCTTGACAGGGGAGAATCATATTTCCCAAAAAAAGGAAACTCTTTGAACAGGAGAAACACAAGCCTGTAAGTGCATAGCCTGATGTTTTCCGAAACAGGGAGGGCAACATGAAAGGAATCTTCTTGATGAACTTGATGTCAGGCAACCGAGCATCTGTTTTAGGATCCATGTAGACCGCTCTTCAACACAAAGGGGAGGTCCTTGTCACAGCTTTTTGGGTCGTGCACCATCATCCCCCAAAATGTTGGTGTCAAAGCCCACTGCCAGCCACAACCGCTGCCTTGGTTGATCCCTTTGCAAGAAGTATGCGTGTTTCTGTGTTTAATGGCAAACCTCTTGATTTTTTTCAAGAAGTTGAAGTCTAGAGTTCCAACCCAATAGCAATCAAGTTTGGATGGTCTTGTCGTCTTGACGGTCGGAGGTCATGCCTACGAAAAGAAGGGAGTTCACCACATTGCCATGGTCAAAACTCCGATGGCCGATTGGCTGAAACGAAATCACAGTTGAGGATCCTCACCGGGATGAGCGAGCATCCCTGACCCCAGGTACAGGAACCGGTCAACAATCAGCAGCCTTGAGACTGATGAAACCATGCAAATGTACACGCCCCTAACAAACTCACTCTCCAGCAAAAAAGTGCCTTGACACGCTTAATGAGTCGTAGAAAGGCCAACAAATTAACGAGTTTCCCCCGAAAAGAAAAAAACAAGGAACCGAAGCCTGAAAACCCCGTTCTTCACCCTGAGACGCGCTGTCCTTGGCGGAATACCCAAACTTGTCCCACTCGTGCGGCTTGATGTCAGTGCGCTTGCCCTCGCAGAAACCGACATCTCTGTCACCCAGCGTTCTCTGACAGTGTGTCCTTAAAACAAATGGAATTGGACTCCCTCAATGATTGGTTTTCTCTTGGCTTGCCTTCAAACCAATCCCCAAAAGCCTTGAGAAACAAAGAGACCCACCTAGCTCACTGCCATTGCTGTCGGTCCGACGTCGCGGCCTTCTTACACCGCCGCACTTCCCCCGCAGTACGTCGATGTCGGAACTTCGCCTCCCGGAAGAGAGGTCGGAACATCGCACAATTCAGCTTCCCTAGTGCAAAATTGGACTGGTGGTTTGGATTTCGATTTGAACCGCACTCAATTTGAGCTTGACTCTACTTGGTGGCTTGGATTGCTGGTTGGTGATTTGAACCCTTCCTGTGAAGCCAAATGGGGGGGAGTGTTACCCCCCAAAAGTCCAAACCAACTAGGATGGTGCTAATTGGCCAACTTCGGCTGACACCCCACTTCTGGAAGGCTGTCTGGAAACATGTGCAACACACGCACACAGACCTCACTTCCTGAGTGGTTTCAGTCAGAATCAAGCTCAAACATTTGATTTACCCCCCAAATGGTATTCACAAAAAGTATGAAGTCCAGGAACTCGGGAAGTGAGACACTGGCACAGCATGTGAGGGCCCTGTATTTCCAACTTTTCAACATTTCTCATACTTGGTTGCTGTTGACCCCTCTGCAAAAAGTTTAACTTTTTGTGGGCTTCATGGAATTCCCTTGACTTTCCAAAAAGTAAAAGTCTGGAAAGGTTCAAGGAAACCAAAAAGGAAACCACCTTTTTGGGTCCCGGTGCATGGATACGTCTCAAAATAGGGACAGGAACCCTTTTCCTCTCGGTCTCGCTTCAAACCACGCTGAAAAGGGTTCCTCAGAAAACAAGCAAGCAAGCAAACAAGCAAGCAAGCAAACAAACAAACAAACAAAAAACAAACCTAGTTGACTGCTGCTTTGTGCTGCCCTGAAGCCCAAAAGGTGGGTCGCACAGCCCGGCCTCGGGCGTCTCCCATCCCGGGGAACCACTGTCCTCGAAGAACGGTCCGCGACAACGGGCACATGGGGTCTCAAATTTCGAAGGGGAGCCAACATGGTTTCCTGTTGGTTTGACCGTTTGGTTTATGTGAAAAAAACATGGAAAAAGGCAGTTTGCTTTTGGTTTGCGGGTTTCTTTTGTGCAACACAAAGAAAACGCGTGGACAAACCGGGGCCCTCCAGAGCGTCCCGCACTCTTTGATTGCCCTTTTGCAGGCCACATATGGTTCTTCAAGAAATCCGGAATCTCCTAATTGCACCTATGAAAGCAAGACTAAAACCTGCGTAACCCTGGCCAATCAATTTTGAGCCACACCCAAATGCAGTTCAACAAAAAGCGACACACCCACTTTCAGTCACAAGACGTTTCTTCATTCGCAACCGCTGAAAGCTTCGCGGGCTAAGGTTCCTGAAGGGGTAAAGCGGGTTGGCTGCTGGGGATATCTCCTGGGCTTATTGTGCGCGACCTGCCTAGAGGTGGTCCGTGTGCGTGTTTGAGGTTGTATAAGCAACCTCTTCAGTTGCTGATTCTGCGATTGCGTCCGAAACTTACAAGCTTGGTTCATGTGTGCCATGTTGGTCGTTCGCTTCACAATCTGGAAAAGTTTCGGCCGCGCCATTTGCTTTTCGGAACTTATAGTTGTTCATCTGCACCCGTCGTTCAACCGTTGCCAAACAGACACGCAAGAGACATGGCTTGCCCGGCACATGGATTGGCAAAGGCAGGTGCAAACGAAGACAACCCCCTCCAACCATGGAAGCCGATAGAAACAAAAGTTCTCCTTTTTGGGGAACCGAAGGAACACCCGTCCATTGGAAAGAGGGTGTCCAGTGTTCTCTGACAGTGTGTCTCAAAACAGCACCCCCCTAAATTGGTTTCCTGTTGGCTTCCCTTTGAACCATTTCCTAAACGGTCGGGCAACAAATTAAGAAGCCGAAAGGTTGAAGATTGCCTATGATTGCCTCATGGATGCCAGGCAAGCCACTACTCAAGGGGGCACGGTACTTCGGAAGTGGTTAAAGTAAGCCTGGTTCTAACCCACTTACCATGGTTGTAAGTCTCCGTTCAGTGAGTTATAGCCAAGCTTAGTCACTGACAAAGTACCCTGCCCCCTTCAGTCGCCATCTTGGACGGTTCTTGATTTCCACTTTTCACCTTTTGAAATAAGGGCTCAGAATTTCAGAATTTGAGAGGGTGGCCATGCGAACCAACAAAACGACTCTTGTAGGTGTTGAAGGGCGGTTCTGTTGGTTACCTCTGCAAATGGAATCTCTCAGCCGAGGCGACAGCGCGGCTGCTCGGGGCAGCAGTGCTACCTGCCCGTCCGTTCTGGGTCAACAGACGTCAGGGAAGTACATTCTGGCCCTATGACTCTACTAGTATCAGGAGCAAAGTTACTCCACCCCCCAAGTGGTAGGATTTTCAGGAAATCACCCCAGTTTCCGACTTTGATACCTTCAAGAAACGGTCAACTAATAATGACCCAAGACATTATAATCATGGTCATCCCGGCTGGGACTTGAATAGCTAGAAGATCCAAGTAAAGGCCCACACTTCGTGAAACAGGATACCTCGAGCTTCTCTGTCCTAATGTCTCTGGTGACCTCTTCTAAAACACCCCCTCTGGGATATAAAAAAGGTTTGTTCCCAAGGGCGGGGTCTCTGACAACCATTGCGAGGGTGTTTCTTGGCATGAAAAGGAGATCAACATGCAAATCAAATCACAAGCTTCCCAGGGAAATACGAAAATACCTTGTGCGCGCATAAATCGAGCCATATCTCGAAGAGCAGCGCTAACGGAATGCAACATGTACCAGTATGTCAGAACTACCATGGGTTTTGTCCATGGTGACGACTCTCCCAGCAAGCGGCTTCGGCTTTCGCCATGGCATCGCTGAGGCAAATGCATCGCTCAGGCGCTTTTGTTTTTCTTTTCTCCGGGGCTTGCACAGAGCTCGCCTAATATCCAACCCACGAACATACATGTTCCCAGTTGCCCAGTGACCCCTGCATTTTTAGATTGAAAAGAGCCCCCAAATAGCCTAAGCGTTCATTGGGAACCCACCAAGCACGAAAACGAAAAGGGTGGAATCCACAGAACAACTGGGTTTGATGGGAGGAGCATGGCATTCTGCCATTCCTGATCGCCTCTCAAGCTGCGGTGCGCTCAGTGCCAATCAGCTGTGAATCTGAAAGCACATTGATTGTTGGCACTTCTCTGCAAACCTTTGAATGCAATCGTGGTCGATTCACAGGCTTTCAGTGCCGACTCTTCTTCTTCTGTTTCTTCTTCCTGGCCGCATTTTGAGACTCCGCAGGCATGTTGTGGCAACGGAGCAACGGAGCCGCCAGGCATACGTCTAGCAATGAGAAACAAAACGTCTAGCAATGATAAACACACCAACAAGTTGACAGCTCTGATGAAGAAACCTGCCCACCAAAAGTCTTCAACATATTCCAACTACCCCCCCACAGATTATTAAGAGGGAGCCCCAAACAAAACACCATTTGTAGGATCAGAAGCTGCTTTTGGGATTGGTTGGACCCCCCCCCAAAACAAAAGGGGGGGGTCCTTCCGTTCATTTGTAGGGGAACTGTGAGCCCCCGCCTATGGCGTTCTACTGGCCGAAGTCTCGACTCTGGTCTCTCGTCGGCGCCTGTCGGATGACTCGTCAGAGTCCCTCTCCTTCCGCTTTCGCTTCTCCTTTCCTGGGCTCTCAAACGGGTCCGCCAAAACCGTCGAGCTCACTTGGGCGGATGGAAGCTATGGGGTCGAGAGGCCCAAATAGGCCCTGGGGTGGTTTGGGGCAGCTTTCAGGAAGGTTCCGGAGAGTTCTAGGGGGTTCCGGGGCTGTTGGGGATACCACCTTGGTGTTTGTTTTCTCCTTTTTTTCAGGAAAGCCCGGTTTCGAATTTCTTAAAATCAAGCTGTCCACGATCGGCCGGCCTGAGCTTGAGCTTGATCGCTTGGACCTGCACGTTGAAGACACACACACTCAACCGTTTTCTGGGATTTGCCTTGTGGTGCGATGAAGGCAAGACAGACAACCAATAAGTTTTCAGGAATCTGAAATTGAGACGGAGCGTTCTCATTTCATTTCCTGTGGATGCCGGCGGGTTCCCTTCGAATCTTCAAACACCCTGTAGCTCGGGAAACTGAAATGAGCCCAGCAAAACTCACATACCGTGAGTGACCAACCGACTCCCCTGATTCACATGGCACCCAACAACCCACCGCCTTTATTGGCATCTTAGGAGGGGAACCTGTCTTAGGTCCCATGTGAATCTTCGGAGGCGAAACTGGGTTTGCCACACGAACAACTGAGCCAATTTACATGACGCGTCGGTTTCCAACTTTTCCGTTTCTCCGGCGCCTCCGACGGCGGCTGCGGCTGGAATCGCCTGGGCGGGCAAGAAAGGAATGGATATGGACAAATGCGTGGACATGTTTTCGCACGTTGAATTCATCGACTGTAGTTTTCTAGGGGTGTCGTTCGTTCTTTTAAGAGTCCCCTATCGTTTGCCCCATACTCAACAGAAGTAATCTTGACGGTACTTCATGTATATCATATAAGTTTACTTGTATACATAGTTTCCAAATGGTTCTGCACGTCTCGCTGGGATTCCGCTTACGGATGCCTTGGCTAGGATCATCATGTAAATCCAGGTCAATGGTGGGGTACAGCCCGGGGTGAGGGGAAACGGTCGCCTAATCCGTGCCAGTCTGGCGCCCAAGCTTTGTCAGAATCTCCCCAAGCTGCGACAAGCAAAGTGGTCTGACTAGCTGAGTCGACTGGCCAGAGAGAGAGTTGTTTTACTTAGGCCTGACGTTCTTTTTTGAGGAAACCTGCCAACAGAAGCTAAAGTTTGCTAAGTCAACAGGTATGCTGATGGATGGGCAGCCCAACTCATATTGTCCCGTCGCAAGGTTTGGGTAGGGGTCAAACAACCACCCCCCAGGTTCTAGCCCCTGTTGCCATTTGGGGGTGAATCAATATTCCTGGCCCCAAACTAAATCACCATGGGAAGGTCACGACTTACATACCCATTTTGTGGGAAAGTGGAGTCTTGTTGGTGGCTTTCAAATTTCCCAAATGGTCATCCCATGGAACGCACCTTTTGATCAACCCTCCTCAGGGCAGCCCAGTTTCGGTGGGCTCCCCGGACCCCCGAAAACGCAAAAAAAGAAGAAGAAAAAAACGAACCAGTCGACCCAGTCCACACGGAACCTGACGTTGGGCGGAAGACCCCATGTTCGGTTAAACAAAACAACCTCTGGTGTGTTCCATATTAGTGGACAAGAGGGGCACCTTGAATATCCAGGTTGTAATGGGCTCACTTGAGGGCACAAACCCAGAATTGGCCTTGAAAGTCGGAAGTCCATTTCCTTCCTGGCCAAAAGGGGATTGTGGTCAAGCAAAATAAAAATAAAACAAATACGATCTTCTTAGATTCTTAGATCATAATTGGTTCGTTCTCTAGGAATCCTTCTACTGGTTCTCTGAGCTCCCTATCACAGGTCTAGCCCTGTCGAGCCCAAATAACACAACTTTGCCCCACTGAAAGTCCCTACCTTTTCTGCGGCTGACGTTTGATTGGGTGTCTCGTCTTTTCTGGAGGGCACCCCGAGTTTGATTGGTTTAAAGGGACCAAGAGGCACCCAATTTGGGGGGGTCCAACCTTATCACACCCAAATTTGGAGCGTGGAGGGCCAATCTTACATTGCACCGTGCAAAGAACTTGTCTAGGTCCTCCAGTAGAGCGGTTAGAATAAGCGTACCCTTTTTTTTCTGTAGTCTATTTTAGTAGGGTCCCGAACCCTCCCCCAAAAAAGAATCGGTAAAAGAAACGGCACCTAGCTGGGGGACCTAGTTGTGGGCGCCGAGCCAGCCTCAAGAACACCATATTCTACCTATGCCCTCCACACGAATTCGCCACTTACCGGCTTCTAGCTCAGGCCCAGGCTGCTCCTCGAAGACTGGCGATGCGATGCGGGACTTAGGGACGATGTTTCCAACACTCACTTCCCAGATGGCAACCAGAATAAGTTCAATCTGTCTGTTTACCACTCAAATGGTCTGCCCAAAAAGCTTTTGAGGCCCAAGATCTCGGGGACTGAGAAATCCCTCTCTCTCCCATCCGGCTCTTTCCCACCTTTGCGGCTCTTTTGTCTGAACGGTTTTTTGGAAAGGATCTCGAAAGGAAAGAAATGGGGAAGTTTCCACGAAGTATCTGTCCTTGCTACACATACCCCGGACCTCGGGTCGCATTCCCGGGCATGGACACCAAAGGGAAACCACCATGAACTCACCTAGGATCCTAAACAACTCCCAGTGCCCGTGACGAAAAAGGCACCCTTTCTTTGCTCAAGAGGGAAACACCCTCTAAGTGGACAACTGGCACCACTGCGCGTCTGGGAAAGAATTTGGTTGGCCTCGTTCCTATACTGCCTGAAGTGAGACAAGTGACTCTGCTGAATCTCAGCTTCCCACTATAAGTAACGGATTGGTGGCTTGGTGGTTTACGGCAATTTCGCTTTTATATATAGACAAACTAGGAGTTCAAATCTCCAAATTAATCCAAACCATTTTTCAGGGCATACCTGAGAATCCCACTTTGGGGGAAAACAATCCAAGCCAGAGGCTCTCTAGCCCCAGGTGCTAGAAGCGCCTAGAGGTTAGGATTCTAAACCCTCTCCTCAGGTTTGCTCGGTTTTTAAAGGGAAGCCCAAAGAAGCTCAAGTGCTTACAGGGCTCCCCTACTCTAAAACTTTAACACGCATACACGCGCGAAACAAGCCATAATTTGCGAATGTGGCTGGGCTAGAGAGACTAGATCCATCCAAATGGATCCCATGCATAAAGCGCAGCTCGGTCCAAAAACGAAACGTCCAAGAGGGCGGGTCTATCTAGGTTCCCAGTTGCCCAGTGACCCCGGCAGACGTGCTGGGGTCGAAACGATTCTTGGAAAGAAAGCAACCAGGGTCTGTCTGTTCGTTGATGGTACCCTTTTTGGGATGGTTGTGGGGAACACGAGGAACCCCCCGCAATTTTGTGGCTCCCCTATTTTTGCGAGGTGTGGAATGGAATCCACTCGGGTTGACGGCTCTCGCGCTTGCCGCTTGCCTTCGCTCGCTTCTTGCTCACCTTCGCTGACTTCGACGCTTTGGCCTCTTTCACCTGGATCGCAACGGCGCAAATGACCCAAACGAACCAATACTTGGGTAGTCGTGGATCGGCCGGCCAGGATAGAAAGTTCTGGATGACCCTTCGGCCAAGTAACCCGCTGAAATTTCTGTCCCCTGTGAAGGTGGGGTTCACCCATCCATGGTGAGACTGCAGCAAGGAACCAACGACCATCTGGCTCGAGGGTTCTGGATTGATATTGAATGACCCAGAAATGCTATGGTGAAATTCGACGGCACAACTTTTTTAAATGGGTAAGCAAAGGGAATGACCAGACCTAAACTCACTTCCCGAGTGGACCGGCCCAAAAGAGAATAACATCCATATCTACGAATAACATCTAAGAACTTCCATTTCCTTTTGAAGCCAACAAGGAAAGACTGGGTCCAGCAATGTGGCCGCTGTTCACTTCAAGGAGCGTTCGCAAGGTGTCACTTGAACCCAGACCTCCAGTGACCATCAGAAAAGTTGTTTTGGTTTGGAGCATTTTGATTTTAATTGAAGCCCCTCAAGCAAAGGACATCACTGAAATGCCCTGAACCACCGATTTTGGACGGTTGAAGAGTGCAGGCTCCTGAACATTGCTGCTTGTGTGTCCATTCAACACGTTGCAAGGGGGGAAGGACAGCGGCATCACATTCCCACGGTATTGGGCTGAGTCCAACCGTCCAACCCCGGGCTTCAAAGCGTAGTCCGTTTTGTGTCCAGGAGCAAAGTGGAGTCGATTGGGTTGGCAGTGAGGGGCAAATGACATGGGGATGTATGAACATTGAGGTCTGTTGGTGTGGGAAACCAGCACACCAGCCATGCTTAAGTCTCCAAAGGAAGTACCTAGCGAGCGCTTCAGTTCCTCACACGGCAACACAGGGTTGAATCTAAGTTTGACACCCCAGACTGAAACCCAGGGGTGGCTCATTCCCCCCATAAGGCGAACCGCTGGGTTTAAGTCTATCTTGGGATTGTGAACAACTCTGGAACCCATTCTATTCTTTTTAGAATCAAACATGACAAAGCACATGAAGTCAAGAAGTGCCTGCTGAGCGCACCAGCAGGGAATGAGGCAATTCCCTAGGAAACCACGCGGGATGGTTCTTCTAGGGGTCATTCAACTTCTCCTTCCCTGCATCTCTCGCAGCCAGAAAAAATCATCGCCGCCCGCTTGCCACCTGAACACCGCCGACCTCTTCCTTCGGGGCATCGGCAGTTCTGCTTCGACTGGCGCGCCCTCGGAGATCGAGGGCGTGGTCCCATGCGTGGGGTGTGTGTTAAAATGGCCCAAGCATGGGCGGTTTGCTTGTGGTTCCCCTTCAAAGCCAGCAAGCATAGGGAGCGGGTAGCCTAAAGGAAACATGAAAAATGGGGAGAGGTAGCCTGACCAAAAGGAAAAAGCCCATGTGGTTGGCAAGACAAGCAGCCAATACAAGCGCCGAAAGCGGGTTCTAGGCGGTGCATGCTTGGATTCACCTTGGATTTGTTCTCTGCTTCCTTTTGAGCATCCAAAGGATCGCCCCCGCAAAGTGTTCCGCTTTTGTCTGGCATTTGACCCCTCAAAGTTCCGTGGGATTCTTCTGACAAGTGATGGCTACATCATTAGAATAGGTTTGTGGCTAGCACTTTGACACAAGTCACGGGACCCGGCGGCGTTTGTTTCTAGGTTTATCAACCCAAGGGTACCCCTCCCCTCAGCGCAGTCCGGGAGGTCCCCGCCCCCCCGGACCCCGCCTGCAGTGGCAAGTGCTGCCTCGCCAACGCGTTGGCGAAAAGCGACGAGAGGCTACCCGTTTCAAGCTAAAAGGTGTCTATTGGAGGGGGGCACCCTTTCCAAGTTGGCTCCAAGTGGGTTTCCCCAAGAGCAGGCGCGGCCCATGTTTTAGAGGAAAAAGCCGCCTTTTGACATGCAAAGAACATGAACTTTGGTGCCACGTCGACACGGAAAAGGTCGCCAACGGCTCGTGCCAAGCCCAGCTTCACGATATGTCCCTTGAACATCAACCCACGAGGAAGTGACCTCTTGCATTTGCTTAGGCCTTAGGCCCCCTGGAAAACATATGTTCCGTAGTGATAGACCCTCCTCAAAGCCAACAAGCAAGGGACAATAAACAATGCTATGAAGCAAATGGAAGACTTTCAACTGGCCAAGGTGATGATTGAATTTCAAAGAAGAAAAAAAAGGTATCAAACCTTGCATGAACCGACTCACACACACACACCACACATCAAACATGTTCGTCCTCTCCCAGTTCCGGACTTTTTACAGACTATCATGTTAGCATCGGGAAATTGTCCCTAAACATGACCATCCACCTGTTTTCAATATTTGAAAGCAGATGGAACCGGCCCCTATGCTCTCGACTGAAAAGAGCCGGGCGTGTGTCAAACGGACGTTCTGGAAGACTGAAGGCCACAGTAGACCAGAGGGATACCTTGACACCCGAACTTCCGAACGGAGAACCATCGTTCTTTCTAAAAACCAGCCGTTTCCCCTTGATGGTTTCTGGAAAGAAAGTGTCCCCTAGAGTTCTGTAAGGTATTCCGAATTCAAGTTCAGATGAGGTCAACCTCGACTTTCCCAGCGACTAGGCGCTTCGGCTTCGGCTGCCTGGTGCATGGAACCGCCGGCGCCCCAGGTCGGAAAAAGTCCCTCAACTCACGTCCCATCGAGTAGACTGGCAACAAGACTATCTGAACTTTTTGGTTTCCCACCAAACTGGTCTTCCCAAAAAGTGACACAAGTCCAGAAACGCTTCGGTAAGTGAAGGGTAAGGTGGGGTGTCATGTGGAACTGCAGCACAGTACTGTCAAGGCCTGGTAATGATAATGGGGGAGTGGGGTACTTTAAACCCAAGCTCAGTCAGAGAAAACGAGTACTGCTTTAGCCCTTATATGAAATCAATTTAGACTTCCGTTTCCTACCTGGACACGAGTATCGATTTAGCCCGTGTTTCGTCTAAGACGGTGTGTTCCTCCCTGCAACAAGCACCTCGCTCCCCATGATGCATTGCTGCGATCTGATGCTCAGGCCCAGACGGGAGACTCGGGTTTGGCTGGAGACGCCTACGTGGAACATGGAGAATGTCTGGCTGATCAAGTCTTTCTGGGTGTTCAGTGCGGATCTCCTGAGTGGTGGTCCAAACCAAGCGGCGCCAAACTTTGGCTTGCCAAATGGTCCAAAAAGTGACTAACGTTCATGAGATGCAGGTTGGATGCCCACACCTCTGTACACTGTTACAGACAACAATGCTACTTGGGGGGGGCGGGTTCCCCTGCACGGTGGATTGTGATGATTCACCCACGGGACGATAGGCCAAGTGAGCCAGCCTGCTTCCTTTTCAGCAGCTTTAGGGCAAGGGATCGACACAGCGAGGATTGGAATCGCCAGGATCTTGATCCAATTGGCCAGGGGGCTTTGGGTGCTGCTCAGTTGAACTTCAGACAACTACTTGCTTCTCTCTGCCTCTCGTTGTTAGACACATGAACCACGGACAAGCTTTGGCTCGCTCCATCTCGCTCCCCAAGAGGACATGCACAATCTGGGTGGCCCCGGGAATGCGTGTCGGGCCTCTATGTCTTTAAACTGACAATAAGCTACCAATTGATTGCATTGCCAGTTGCTGGTGCTTGCCACGCTTGTCGCCCCACTGCAAATTCCCTGGAACCTCATCAAGGGCTCCATTTCCCAAACGCACTCTGCTCTACTCACTTAGCCAAAGGACCTGGAAATACAAAGTTAACCTTTTTGTGGTCATGACTAATTATGGTTTGCAAAGAGGGCGGTCAAAAGGTCAGATCCGGTCGTCGGAACGATGGTGTTTGGGGTTCCATACCAATCCTGATAGGGTCCTCACATCCCCTGCCCAAAGTTTTATTTGCCAAAAGTTTAGCTCGTGGGTTTACATGGAAACCCAACCACCAACCAAAAAGCTCAAAACCAACGGGAAGGAAACCGAACCACTAAACCGACCAAAAATAACAAACAAGAAGCCTAAGGAGCCGTATGCCTGGAAAGGCTGCAGTCTTTGTTTCCATGTACCAAGGGGCCACAGCCACCTCTCTGTTGCCGAACCCCCAGCCCCTTTAGCACCCGGCCTCTTCCATGGAGACCTGCGACTTGTCGCAGCTCGCAGCGTGAAATTCACCCCCTTCATGTTTTAACCATGGGCATGACATCCAGTCAAGAGCCTTTGGTCAGAATTCGCTGGAGATTCATGCCCAACCACTTTTGAGGTGGTTCGAGCGCTTGAAATTCACGGCCCTGTTGTTTGAGCCACTTCCTTTTAGCTGCCCCTTTTGCGGGGCTGGCCTGATGCATCAGGCCAGCCCAATCTTGCTGCACGCAGAAAGGCGCATGTTTGACTGCCGGTCATTGTGTGTCCAGCCAAACCTTGTTGGTCGGACACCGGGAGCCAGCAATCCAAACTGTCTGGGTCCCTTACCAAGAACATTTGAATGGGTTGTCTAATCAAACATCAAGAAGTTGATGACCATCCTTACCAAAAAGAAGCGATCGTTTGACCATGCACTTAGACGATGTTAGGTCATTTCCTTGTCCCAACACTCCAAAGAAGACTCCAAGGGAAGCTTCATAATCAACCCAAAAACAAGGGGTTCATACCAGGGGTCATACATGAGCAACTTTAGAAACCTCTTGTATAGCCAAAGGACATCGGGTAGAGGTTATCATCTTTTTTTTGTAACCCTATCGTTTCGCATGCTTTTGGCACGTTCTACTGCACATGTTGGTATGTCATGCCCAGCCCTTTACATATTGGTCTGCCAGGACTTAACTTTCAGCCGTTGATACTCCTGTTTGGTGTTGAATGGCGTCGAATGGATCCACCCAACACCCGCGAAGAATCATAGCGGCAGGCTTGCCGTTGGCAGGAAACTCTTTAGCCTAGACTTACTCAGTCCAAAAAAAGTCACAAAACAAATGGCTGTGGCTCAAAAAAATCCCCGGTACCAACATGGAACCCTGGCAAGTGGACACATGGGCCAAAACCTGCGGTTTGCCCCGCCTGTTTCATTTTGAGCCACACCCAAGTCCCAAACGGTCGGTGGCCCCGGCGCGCCGGTTCCCGGCGCCTGGGGCGGCTCCGGCTCTTCACCATCTCCTGTCTGGATACTCCCAGTTGCAAGTCCCTTGGGCTATTTCCAGTTCAGCTTCCGTGGCTTGGTGCTTAAGGAAGGCCGGTTTCCCCATTTAGCCTCTAGAATCAGGGGTTCAGATCCCAAACCACAAAGCCGAACCAGCAAAGGGGAACCTGAGAGGCTTCCATTTGCTTCTTCGCCCCTTGGAAAAATGCGACATATTTCCAGTAGCTGAAACCAACACGGAAACATTAAAACATATTCACTTCAGCTCATGGAAGGAGATATCGAACCCTTCTTGGGGTGAGATTAAACACGAAAGCCACAAGACAACTTGTCTTTCCGGAAAAAAAAAAAAAAAAAAAACATCTCCCATGTCCCTCCTTTGGCTCAAGACGTGCCAGGGCACGCGGGCCGAGTCTGTGCTGCGAAATGGGTAAAAGCAATGGTTGAGCAATACGTGAGCGATGTCCCCAAAATCAACTCTCCCTTCAGTTGCTTGGTTTCCTTTTGGTTTCCTCTTAAACCCATCCCAAAAGGGGACCCCTGTTTTCAGAAACGCCCGTGTGTCAAAATGAGGGGAGCCCTAACATTGGCGGATTCTTTCGATTTCCCGATAAAACCAGCACCACAAAGACAGGTATGCCCTCCAAAACTCGAACCCATACCTGCAACGAATCGAAACCTCATGCTGAAGCATACCCACGCAGCTCAGAATTTGTAATCCGTAAAGAGCACAGTCAAGCCAAGCTAGTTAGGTAATTGACCTTCATGGGGCATTTGCACGTGTAAGCAATAACATCACAAATGCGGGTTTGCTTCCCAAACAAAACAAACTCCCAGAAAAGCGGTCGCCATTGGCTGCTTCACCCAGTGGCTGCACAGCCAGGCTGCTTGAAACGCTAGGTGCCTCAAAGTGCACAATTTCAAGAGCTTGCAAAGTTACTCTTTGGGAGGGGCTCCACTGAAGCACCGTAGATGAATAAATTTCACTTCGATGTGTGTTTTCGTCCCTGGAACAACAACAGCAGGAGTGATAGACTCTCTTTGACAGCAACAGGTGAAAGCAAATGGTCGTTCACCATGCTACTTTGCCCTTTCACCCCCGGATTTCCAGGTCCTCCATTTTCTGCGCGCTCCCCACGCTCCTGGTGAGTGCTCCGTTTCTCCGATTGCCTTTCCCCAGCGACCCGTGCTTCGGACTGAGATCCCCAGAACGCGTGAGCTTTACCATGCGGGTTGGTTACTGTGACTTTACAACCCTTGGTATTGTAGCAAAACACCTGGGTATTTTTGCAGCCTCCCTCTAAAAATGAGCAGAAGCACAAAACCTAAACACCTAAAAGCGAAGGCTTCGATGACTCAAGTAGAATGGGCGCCAGTCCAACTGAAAGGCCTCCCTTTACTCCTAAGCCACTTGTTGGATGGTGAGCCCCTATTCTCTATGTTTCTTTGAATGAATATGTTAAATAGTCAAACACGTTTGTTGGAAGGTCAACCTCACCCATTATATAAGGGACATGTAAAGGGGGATCTAAAAGGTCCGAAAACGCAGAGCCCAACGACATCGCCTATTTTGTCATCCACTCAAGGTGCACAAGGGTTTACGACCCATTGGCAACTGCCAAGTTGAAAAACCCTTTTGTATCGCAAACGGCCCGGCGTCGCCTGCCCTTGCCAAACCATCCCACCATAAGGAGGTTGGGTTGAAATACAAAGGATTCACAAGGTAAATCGTTGGCCCCAAGCGTGACAATACCCACTGGAAGCCCACAACTTGTTCTCCAAACATTGACCCTCTTTCAGGCGGGTGCCTTCCATTTGCGATAGTTGGTCCAGGCCAGATGTTGGCAAGGGTTCAAAGCCTCACAAAATCATCAGAAAGTTCCCAAGTTGGTTCAACAGATTGGACATCGCACGCTGTCTGCTAACTCTCCATGTTTAGTCTACCCTAAAGTCAATTTAGGTTCTTTCGACGCCTTTTGGTCTGAGGTCACGACTGACTGCCTTTCCCTCACGAAAGCCCGGCACCTGTGCAGTCGGGTTGCGGTCGGCGATTGGCAGGGGAACTGGTACAATATGGCTGTGGGTCAAAAATAGGTACCCAAAAATGGAACCCTGCTAACTCAAGCCCAGGACTCAACTTTGGGGTCACTGGTGGTGAATTTTGACCCATACCGACCTGGGCGCGTCTTGTTTTAGGGTAGCCCAAGAAAGGGTTGGTTGAAAAGGAAGCCATAAGGAAACCAAAGCCCAAGCTCGCTTCTTGGAACAAGACCGTGTGCACATGAATCTGCCCGCGTGAAAAGGAACAACCAGCCAAAGGGGCTGCCCGTTCCCCGGAGAGTCTCAAAATTTAGATTCCCAAAATGTGTAGTGTTGCTCACTTGCGCAAAGCACCTGGAAATACAAGGAAACCAAAAGGTTAAAAGGTCGATTCACCTCGGGCAAGTGAGGTTGACTATTGGGCCAGTACCTCCAAAGAGAATACAACCCAAACTGTGGCAAAAGGGACACCGAGACCTGTGGATGGAAACCCATGACCAGCGTTGCTACCATGCCTTCAAATATCACCCTTTGCCCAAGTTGCCAAGTGGAACAATAGCGCAGGTGAATCGAAGAATGGTTTCCATGATGGTTTGGCCCTGGTTAAGTAGTCCAATGGCTCCAGGGCCCCTCCCAAAACTGGATCTTCTGGACCTTGTCGACCTTTGGGGGGGGGGGGTTATGCTAGTAGCTCCTGAAAAGAACATCCTCCCTTTGCTTGACTCCCCTGCCAAAATTAAGAAATATCTGTCAGTGATAGATTCTTTATAGGGCCAACAGGGGAAAAATAATGACAATAAAGAGAATAACAATAAAAACAATGAATAAAACACAAATACTGATAACAACATAATACTCATAATACTCATAATAATGATAATACTAGTAATGACAATAATAATGATAATAATGATGATAATAATAATGATAATAGTAAAAATAATAATAGCAATAATAATAATGATAATAATGATGATAATAATAATGATAATAATAATAATAATAACAATAACAACAATAACAATAACAATAACAATAACAATAACAATAACAATAACAATAACAATAATAATAATAATAATAATAATAATAATAATAATAATAATAATAATAATAATAATAATAATAATAATACCAATAACAATAACACTAACAATAACAATAATAATAAATAATAATAATAATAATAATAATAATAATAATAATAATAATAATACCAATAACAATAACACTAACAATAACAATAATAATAATAATAAATAATAATAATAATAATAATAATAATACTAATAATACTAATAATAATAATAATAATAATACTAATAATACTAATAATAATAATAATAATACTAATAATACTAATAATAATAACAATAATAATAATAATAACAATAATAATAACAATAACAATAATAACACACTTCATTTCAGCAAATGGAAGTAACATGGGGCCGTCTCTAGATGCTACTCTGCGCCTTGCCATCATATCCTCCACGGCGCTCGCCTGCTGCTCTTGCCCTCAGCGACGATCCATGTGCGTAGGTTGTGTGTTCAAACAGTTGGATTGGTTGGCAGCCCATGCTCCCTAAGACACAGTAACTTACCTTTAAGGGAAGTGAGCCGTTGCTGCCTAGAAAGTTTTAAACTTCGCTTCGGGATGCCGCTGTAGGTTGCTTCTTTTGGGAAACCACGGGAACACTTCAGTTTGGGCCCTAAACTTTCAGACACACCCCATTTTGCTTAGATGCAGCCCAGGCACACTGTCTCCAACTTCATCAAGGTGTATCCCTCCAAGTGTTTTTGTTTGCTTTGGTTGCTTTTTCTTTTTATTTTTGTTCTTTTCGCCAAACCCCAAAAAGAAGCACCCCCCTAGTAATGAAGCCGGGGGGTCAACATTCTCCTTTGAGGGACCCCAGTGCAAGGACTCCTCAAGAGACGGGCACCAGGGCACCGGAACACCGGGGCACCGGGCGCTCGTCTTCCCCATCCGCCTCCTTCGCCACGCCCTCAAAGGCGGTCTTGGCGTACTTCCTGGCACCCAACGAAGCACTCCTGGAACCCTGGTAAGTGGAAACAAAATCTGCGTAACCCCTCCAGCTTAATTTTGAGCCACACCGAAATTAGCGGAAGGAAACCCCCGCCCCACCAAAAAAGGGGGGCCCCAAAGGGAGCTTCCTCTTTGCTTGCTTGCTCGAGTACGAATGAGCAGAAGGAACTCCCAAAAACCCGCATTTCTTAGAGGGATGTCCAGCTTCCCTGTGAGCCGTTGACTCTCGGCATGGTGGGGAAGGGTTGCCGAACTTCCTGTAGATGTTCCCGGGAGCGCTTCTCCATGAAAGGGAGTGCAAGCACAGCATACCTGAGGGCTGTTCAAAAAGGGTGTTCCCAAAAAAAACATCAACATGCCCACCCCCCTGTTCGTTTCGCTTTGGGAAGTGTCAAAGTATGGGTCGTTTTGCACCAAGATACGGAAAGGGAGGCATGTCAGGACGCATACATCACCAAAACGCCTGTAGGTTGTGGTCACAGTTTCCTGAACACCCCTAGAAGGAATCCAAGGACACTTTCAAAGGGGCCCAACAAAGAGGAAGTGTCCTTTCATTAGTTGGCTTGTAGCCGCAGGGTGTGCCACGGCTAAACCAACCCATCAGGCTCGACCTAAGTGGAAACCCACAGGAGGATGTTTCAACAACGGTTTCAAATTGAATTGGGGTCACGGTTCCTCAATCTCCAGTTCCAAAGAGGTTAGAATAAGGGTACCCTTTTTTCTGTAGTCTATTTTCGTAGGGTCCCGAACCCTCCCAACCAAAAAAGAAACGGTAAAAGAAACGGCACCTAGCTGGGGGACCTAGCTGCGATTTTTTTCGGCCCTTGCGGGGAGCGGGTTCCACTAGGGACACCTTAGACCACCTGCTTCCCCCGCCTGGCCAGGGCGCACTCCTGGCGAGGTTTTTTAGTTGGGACTCAAACACTGCGCTGGGACCGTCTGGGTTCGTATCCTCAGATCCCCCGCTGAAAGGTTAGCTTTTAGTGGGTTACATGGAAATCCCCACTAAACACTAAGCAGCTAAAAGGCTAAGAAACCGGATGGCTGGGAGCAACCAAGAAGAGGAAACGGAAGCCCAGTTGGGATTTGGGGGGTCCAAATCCCCCAATCTTCAGAGACCAGCCCCGCCATGCTTCACCTAATGGGAGCCTTCAGCAAGCCCATGGAAGGCTCAGAATCCGCGTGAGGGAAGCGACAAGTGCCTTGCAACGAGAGGCTCGGCATGTGAAGAAACACCCCTCAGGCATGTGTGCCATGATCAAAACTCATTATGGCCATGCATCATAGTTGAGTAACTCATGTGAAGCAGTGAATGCACAAAAAATCTGTTTCACCACCAGTTGGGATGGATGAAACCCTAAAATACTGGTGCATTGGTTGATAAACCACCCATCCCAACTGGTGCCGATAAATTTGCTTGATTTGTCCACACCCCGAAGAATTCCTTTTTTCCCCAGAAGACCCAAGACACAGAATAGCAGATCATCCAAGCCAAACTGATTAGCAATCCCCCAATCCAAACCAACCCAGAATAGCAAACCACCAAGAGCAACCCCGGAAAATTACCCACCATCCGAACCACCATATAAGCGTAACTTGCTTTGCTTGCTAAACCACCAATCCCGACTGTTGCCGATATTGTGGATTTTGTCCACACATATGAAGCTATGCCTCCATTTGATTAAGTCCCCTGCAAAAAAAAAGGAGACCAAATCCAGTAGTCATGGATTCCAACTTTAACACCAACCGGGAAAATCACTTAAATATTCATTTCAGCCAATGGAAGGTGATAGATTCCAACTCTAAAACCAACATAACACATAACGGAAGCTCTGACAACGCGTCCGTCCTTCTCCAGAAACTTCTTTTGTCTCGAGGAGAAGACGTGCAAGTTGGCGTGCAAAGCCCGGTACATCTTCTTGCCCACCTCGCCCGCCAGGCGCCAGGCGAAGCTGTCTCAAAGGAAAATCCGACCCAACAGAAATGGCTGCACGGTCGTCCGGTGGGTTTCTTGTTCAGTCCAAGTTTTTTCTTTTTGGGGGGCGGTCCCCCGGGGGGACCGCCCACAATGGAGAAAAACAGTTGGTGTTTTGTTAGTTTCCATTGAACACTAAGCAACATGGGCTTCCAACTCCAACAAAAAGGCACAACCAGAGGTGCAGGCAAGTCCCTAGCAATGGGAAATCAAGTGAACAGCTTGAAAGAGCACGCAACAACTTGATACGAAACTCCATGTGCGAATACGTCTCGGGAAGAAACATATAAATATGAGCGGGAGAAAACACAAGCAAACCAGCCTTTCATTTGGAGACCAACTCACCAATGCATGTGGACAACAGACCTTGTGACGCAGCAAGGCTGTCAATTCTATGCTTATGACTATGTCAGTTGGGTCCCAAGTCAGCTTGCATTTCCTCGGTTGCCCAGTTTGGACTCAGAAATACAAGGTTAGCCTTTTGGGACCTTGAAAATGGTTGCCCAACAAGGAAACCAACTGGTGAAAGAGTCGATTCGCTGTGGGCAAGTAAGGATCCTTTGGTGCTTCCCGACTCAACACCTTTTCACTGCCACTTCTCCTTTTTTCGGTACACCAAAACAAGTGCCCAGAAACAAGGTGGTTCCCCCCCCCGCCCATATCGTGGCTCGCTGCAAAAGAAACTCACCGGCCCAGCTTGCTGGGTGCTTCTCAAAATCCGAGGCCCAACTTTAGGGTGCTCTCCTTTTGGTTTCCACTTAAAACCATCCAACAAGGGGTCCTCTATTTTGAGATAGACCCATTTGAGCAATGGGTGACGTGCAGAAAGAAAGCATGTAAGCAAGACCATGGCAAGGGGAACTGTCCCGTACCCTTCCACTTATAGAAACTCAACTGACAGTGGCCCGAAAGAAGACGTTGCGGGCTGACCAAATCGGAATATGGGTCTCTCTCTTGCTCTCTCTCTCTCTCTGCACAGGAGTCCCCCCCCCAAACCCGCGGCTTGCCTTTGGTCCCTTGGTCTCCCCTCAAAAGAAACCCAACAAATGGTTCCCTCAAAAAAAACACATCTCGCTGCCATGTAGGTGTGTCGTCTTTTGAGGGTTCCCCTCTTTTAGAACGGGACACCACATGGAAAACCAATTTGTTTCGTTTTTTTGGGGGGTGAGTCGACCCAAAAAAAAACACTCGCCATGATGGAGCCATGATGGGGCCCTCCTATGGCCGATGGTCATTGTTCCCTTGGTAGAAAGACTTCTCATGGCTGAGGATCCTTAACAGGTAAATCACTGTTATCATGGTAAATCATCGGTAAAACAAAAAAAAACACGGTAAATGACCACAGCTCAAGAAATGATTATAAGTTATCATGGTAAATCACCTGTGATAAAAATAAACTAACTATCATGGTAAATGACCACCCCTCTCAACGAAAAGCGGTCTGACCATGGCGCACATTTGATGGGATCCCAAATTTTCTCCTCGCCTTATCGTTGAGCTCCTCGATGAAGCGGTTGTGGGCCACCACGCTGTAGAGACTCTGAGGCTCCAGCCGCCCATCTGAAGCCTCTCACTTCCCATGGGTCGGCCCCAGTCGAAAGCTCCCCCACCGTTCTGTCAAGGCCACCAAGCAAACGTCCAAATCCAAAACATCCCAGGGTGGGTGGGTGTGGGTCAAAAATAGGTACCCAAAAATGTAAATGGAAACAAAGACTAAAACCTGCGGCTTTGTGGTGGGTTAATTTTGACCCATACACATGCGTCAAAATGTGAAACCCAGCCGAACATGAGTGGTTTCCCAAAAAGTATCAAGCTCAGGAACCCAGGGCTTCCAAAATGAAGGAGCCCACATGCCACTCCAATGGGCATGGGAAAAAAACAGTTGGGGGGGTGCCCACGTTCTAGAAAAAACATGATAATGGTTATTGTACGGATCCTTACCAGCAAGCATCAACAAAAGCGCCCATTTCATTTGGGTGTCCCTCAAACTCGCCTTATTTTTCTCTTTACAGCCATAACTTTTCACTTCCAGAGTGGACCTTGCAAGGTCTGAACTTTCTGCAAACCCACTCAAATGGCCATGAGTTCACAAGAAGTGGGTGGCACCGGCCCACCGGCCCACCGGCCCACAGCTTCCGGCCCACCGCCCAGCTCCCGGCTCCCGGCTCCCGGCCTGGACCAAGGCCTTGGCCAGCCACTTGGCGCGCCCGTCCGGGCGCTTCTGCAGCACCTGCTCCAGCTCCACCGTGGTGGCCGGCGCCTGAAAAGAGCGCGCGCTCCACCGCGGAGGATGTGCGTGTGCTTTGTCTGCTTCGTTTTTCTTTTTTTTCCTTCCGGGTCTTGGTGGCTGTTGCCTGGGCAGACGTAGGGAAAGGATTTGTGTTTTGTTTGGGTTTGGCAGTCTTGGGTTGTTGCCTATGGAACAAACAAAGGGTAAACAGCAGCGGAACAAAAAAAGATGGGGAGGATGGCAAAAGCAGATACAGAGCAAGATCCATGCCACCAGTGAAGCTTTCTGGCTGGGCCTTTCTGGAGATCCTCCAGCTAAGGAGACCTTTGGTTGAATCTTCCTGAATCAGTGAGCTGGGTTGTCAAAATCGGGGGCCCAAAAATGGGTGATTTTCCATTGGCTTTCCTTTGAAACGGCCAAAACGATGGGTTCCAACTCAAAAAGGAGACACCCCCATTGTCTGGTAGGGAAGTCAAAAGCTGGCTTGTGCCCTTGTTGTCTGTCTTTGCAACCAAAGGGGGGACCTCTTTAACAACAACATCCCCATATGATATGGCATGGGCCGGTCTGTTCAACAGGAGTGGTTTCCTTGCGGATTCCCTTTACATCACCAAAGAAGACGGGCACCAACTCAACAAAAACACACGAGCCCCCCCCCCCCCCTCCACCAGTTTTTTGCCTCAGCATCCAGTGACCGCGGCGCACCTTCTCCTGGGCGGCTGCCTTCTTGCCGCCGCGGTCCGTGCGACGAGCGACCTGGGATCGAACCCCTCAGAATTGGAGCGACCGGATCTTGCCGGTTCTCAAAACAAATGACTTGTCCTTTGTTTGGGTACGTGTCAAAATAGGGCCCCCCCCAGCAAACACAAAAAAGCGATTCTTGTGTTCCCTTTATACAAAACCACCCAAAAGACGAGCTTCCTCAAGAAAGTCACACCCATATAGGGCCATGAATCAGAGAAACAAAGAACCGCCAAAGCGACCTAAAGAAGACATGACCGTTCTGGGACATACGACTTTCACGGTGTAGACAGTATTTTCCAAAACCAGTAACAAGATTGCGAGGATGGTTGGGAAGGTGAATCAGTTCATCAGTTCCCGACATGTTTATTGCAACCATCAACCCACGTGAATCTTGGGTCGGCAGGGCCTGGAAAGGTCTGAAAAGTGGACAAGGACCGTCCCCGTATCACTTGTAGTGGTTTCCTGGGGGTGCCCTGAATGGATTCCCGCGACTCTTGATTCCCAACGAACCAAGAAACTTCTCCGAAGAGTTCAGGGTAAAAAGCTGGCCAATGAAAGGACCCTGTTTCCCCTGCCTGAGGCCCCTAAAATGTTCTTTTTTCAGCACCACTTGGAAAAATGATGCTTTTCCGAAAATTTGAGCACCAGATCGTTTTTTTTAGCACCAGAACGGCTTTTAGAACACCAAGGTGATTTCGAAACACCCATTTTTAGTTCTACGTAAATGTACGACATGCGAACGGTTCGCGAACACGGGTTTTGAACGCTTTACGAACGGTATTTCCAACACCAAATCCTAGGCACGGCCCATGTCATGACGCAAAAAGAACGTAAACATGCAACGGATTATGCAAAAATAATGCAATCGACGGATTCCCAGCAAGCGACATCAGCAACATAAGGTTCGGTCTGCTCCGCAAGCCCGAACGGCTTTTGTAGCACCAGTGTTGAAATTTCAACACCAAGAAGGCAAAACGATCAGTTTCCTGAAAATCGATCGAATTCAACGGTTTTTGGGGCAGCAGGTGGGCGTTGCCTACAAATCTATTGAACAAATGCCAAAACGTTGGGCAGCTGGTTCCCTTTGCACGAAGCACCACAGACTTGTTTCAAAATGGGGAGGGGGACTCCAAAAATTGGTGGCGTTCCATTTGTTTACCATTGAAATCCCAAAACGGGTCCTTAAAGAAAGGAAGCCACGTGAAAAAGTGTCCCTCAAGCGGACCAAACTCGTTCGCTCGTTGCTCGGTCTGGGGGTCCGTGCCACTTCGGCGGGCAGGCGCTTGAACATGGGGTTGCAGTCACGGGGATCCTCCCGATCATTGGGATTGTTCCTCGGCGCGCAACCATCCTGCAGGCCTTTAGGATTCGAAGTCATGGGCTTCCTTTTGACATGTTTACCTAGAGTCTCCACGACCCCTAGAAAAAAGGGCTCACAACCCCTTAATTGTGGGTAATGACCCCATGTTCAAAGGGTCATGGAGAGACTCCAGGTATTTGTTGACACCAAAAGGTGCTTGCTATTTGAGAAGGCCAAAAAAAAGAGAGAGGCTTGGTTTGCTTGTGGTCCCCCTTCAAACACCTTGCGAAAGGGTCTTCTATCACTATCCAAAAGGGACTTACCAGCAATGCTGCGATCGCTGGTTGCTGGTTTGCTGTTATCCCAAGGGGCTGAAACAAACCAACTCATCCACCGGAGTCCATGCATTGCCCTTCAGCCCCAAAAGTACAGGCATGGGATGGCATGGGCATTTGCCCCACAGTCAGGGCGAACTTCAAGAGACTGGTAAATTGAAACGACACCACCACAGACCCCAGAGTCCAAGCCCTCGCAGCCCCCCGAAGGCCCGAAGGCCCTAAGGTGCGTGCGCGGACGACGGCATGGCGGGCAAGAAAGGGGACACTCGCTACATGCACGGAGGTTGCCGTTTCTCGCGAGAAACGAATCGCTCTTGGGAGATGTCTGGCCTTCGAACGCTAGGCTGAGCTCTAGAACTCCTGGCATTTGAGTTTTCTTGAGAGGACACACCTGAGATGCGTGATGGGGCTGACAGGGTGGATGGCATGGCAACGTGCAGCTGATTCTAGCTTCGAGCCAGGCGCGAACCAGTTCCCTGTCGGATTTAGCGATCCACATTTGGGAACTCGGATTGAACCAGTCTTTCAAATGGGTATTGGTCAAAATCAATCCACCAGGAGACCGCCAGGCTTAGTCTAGGGTTCCGTTTACCAGGCGTCCATTTTGGGTACCAATGTTTGACCCACACGCACGAAGTTGAAATTTGGCCGGGCAAGCATGGAGTCTCTCTTTTTATCACTGGGCGCACCCAAGCCTGTCGGGAGCTAGTGTACCCTAGTCCTTGGCACCAGAAACAGTTTGGTCTACACGGCCACGGCTTCGTTTTTGAGGCTACCCCTTTTCTGTGGTTCTAAAGGGAAACCAAAATGAACAAGACTTCAAGATCTTGAAATCCTGAACCTCCCTACAGGTGTCTCCCATTCAAAGGTGGTAACCAACCGGAAAACTGAAATCCATTTTATAGCAACATTTGACCCATGTGGGCGCTTGGGGTTGATTCCCCATTCTTTTCAACCATCGTTCTTTCCCAAAACCGAATCCGTTTCCCTGGGTTTCCGGAGGTTTGCTAGAAAGAAGGATCCCTGGAAAGAATGGAAATGGAAGGTACCCCTAGACTAACCCCTTTTTTTCTGTAGTCTTTTTAGTAGGGGAACCCTCCTCCAAAAAAGAAACGGTAACTGGGCACCTAGCTGGGGGACCAAGAAATAACCATTCTGATGGATTGTCTGGGTTTAGGGGGTGTCCTCCGATTCGATTCCAAAGGCGGCCGGCGGCCTGGCGAGGCCAGCCCTGTCACCTGGCAAGAGGGATCGAGGGGCTTTCTGACTGGAAGGCCCCTCTGGAGCGTTCCCTCGAATCGGTGGTTTGGATTGGTAGGGAGTTGAACCCCTGGATCTTGCTAAAGGTAAATGGGAAACCCCACCAAACCGTCACAATGTGCAGCAATCCAAACCACCAATGAGAGAAAAGCTGACTTACTGTGGCCATTTGCCCCTATGCACCACAAAAATAGCACGCTCCCTTATATGATATAACTTATATGGGTTTCCAAGAAGCTCTTGTGTTTTCGTGCGGGCAGCATGTTATGAAAAAGCACGGATAGTCCTCGCTACTCAGTCAAGCTTGCTGCTGCCTCGTCACTGATTGGCAGACTCAGCGCATCCCAACAAACGGAGAACCCGACTTATTGCTAGAAGTGTCAGGGGTGCTCGCAACAAGAGGGTGCTTCTGAGTGGGCAACACCAGCATACAAGCAAACGTGGTTGTCATTCCCCCACACAATCTATGCAGGTAATGTACACTAACCTTTGACCCATTTGGAGACATGGTAAGTGTGGCTATATATTGCCCACATGGATTGTGTGGGATTCCTCTCCAAGGTTCCGAAACTTCCGCAAGTCTTGGAAGAGCATCCCAAAAACAGCCTTGGAATTGCAGGCGCGCATGGGTGTGCTTGTTTTGATGACCCCCCACCCCAACAAAAAAATGGTGGGTGTCTTATGGGTTTGCCTTGAAAGAAGAAAATCAACACCAACTCAAATAATTATTACTATGATTTTTTAAAGAGACAAGCAGATCCACATCAAAGCAACCGTCCATGGTGCACTCCCAAGCTTCTTTTGCCAGTGTAACTAGAGCTTCAGGCCCTGTGTTGTTGGTGTACGCCCAAAAGCAACTTGGCTTTGCTGCCTAGCGGATCGGGCAATCCAGAAAACCCGGACATGGAAGCCCAACTTGTGTGTGTGGGTCAAACTTGGACCAGGATGTGGACCACCACACCAACCCATTGGGAGAAATTACCAGTGTTTTTTTACCCACGGCCACTTCTTCTTTGCCCAAACCCTCAAAAAGTGGCTAGAGTCCAGAAACCGCGGTTGGAGGGAGCCTAGGTCCTCCAGTAGAGAGGTTAGAAAAAGGGGTACCCTTTTTGCTGTAGAGTATTTTAGTACAAGGACCCTCCCCCAAAAGCGGGTAAAAGGGCACCCAGCTGGACCTAGGAGCGCGCGGCTTTGCCCGGGGGGAAGCTTCCCGGACGCATGGCCTTGGCCTCGACTTTCTCCACCTGTCAAATGGATCCGAGCCGCGTGGGTTTGAGGCCCGTGTCAAGGGTTGTTTCATGCTGACGGAGTCATAAACCCGTCCCAGGGGGGTGGGGACTCCAAGAGTGGTCTGAATCCAACCACTAAAAAGGGACTCTATTCATCAACCAGGGGGTGATTAATCCGGGGTTAACGTTAAATGGCAACCAAACAGACTGCTACCCACCCTTCGGGAAATCCCTGCAGAGGCGACAGTGTTGCGGTGACCTGGTTGAAAGGGAAAATGAAGAAAAACAAATAAAGGGGCAGAAGGATACTCTGGGTTGTTAAAAAACCATGGACTCATGGCAAACCTTGGGACAGGAGCCACAGGCCAGGTATTGCTGCATTCTCCCTGTCTTGATCGAAAGCTCGCGGGCAAAAGGACCCCAGCAAAAGTTTTGCCACCCAGCCGGCCAATGGTCGCCGGCTAGGCAATAACCCCTGGCCCTGGCATTGTTTCCAAAAGGAAACCGACATGATCCAAAAGTGGCCCTACCGCAGCTGTTGCCCTCCAACTATGCCATGTTTAGATCCTGGTCCGTATCTGTCAACCTGTGAACCTTCAAATGCGCCGTTTCCCCGAGGGTCCTGAGAAGTCGTCTTGACATACAGCCGACCCACGCCTCGGGAGCGTCGTGGAACCCCATGGCACCGCAAAAACCTTCGAGGTTGCTGAAATGAATCAGATTCGCCGTCTAACGCGGCTCGAAGCCTTGGAGTAGCTTCTTGTTTCTCGGCGTGACTTGTGCTCCCTGGCCCAAAAATGCAATGCCATGAGCCTAGGAGCTGTGAGCCGAGAATTGCAGGACTTGCCACTCACAATGCCAAGGCCATGTTAAAGCCAAGGTGGACAAATCAACCTCAGGGTGATGGGCAATCAAGGCTCCGTGGCACCCTTGTAAGCATGGGCTAAGAAGCCAAATGCAAACCACCCATTTGGAGGCCCTCTTGTTTGGAAGCCGACCCGCATTGCCACAATGGCCATGACGGTCTCTGATTGACTGAACTCATGACCCAGGGAGGGCACTTGCATCGTGTTTTTGCACCACCTCTTCACTTCTACGCGCTCACTCAGGAAAGAGCCGCCCCCATGGGTCGCGAGAGTGAGCAAAGTAGTCCTGGAATTCGAAGATGCATTGCCTCGGGCCCAGTTTGCGCGAGACGTGCGAGACATAGAGGGCGCCCATGGCAAATGGCGTGCGTCACAGCCTCAAAAATAAGTTCAGGACCCGTCTGCGCCACGCTGGCAGTCCGGAATGCAGGCGTTGTGTTCAAACCTGGTCTCTTGCCAGAAAGTCTCACATCATACTTTCGAAATCAACCGCGTCAGAGTGTGTTCCAACAAGTCTGGGACCGATTCCAAGGCTTTAGCGCGCAGCGGGCCACTGATGAGGCAATGTTGCCGCTTGTTCCGACCTGTTGGACGAGGCGCTGCGCACTTGCAACCCAGGAAAACATGGAAAACTCTGGCACCCCATATGGCCTTTACCTTGTTTTGGTCATCCACCTTTGCCGGCAAAAACAAGTGATAGCACGCAATACTGCCAAATACCCGGGAGAAATTCGAGAAAGTGGCGACCCACGACGCCAGGACGCACCAAGGATTGCATCAGTCATCGCCGCATCCGCTTGTCATCCCTTCATACCATCGCAACATCCTCTGTCATCCCTGCATGCCTGGTCACAACCAAGCCCTGCAAAAAAATCGTCAGAACACCAGTGCGCGCGAATCAGCTTCACGGACGTTGCGGAACACCCGTTTCAGTTTCCGAGCCTTCTTCTCCAAGCTACCCTGAAACACTTCGAAGAAAAGGTGCTCCTTGGCGTAAACGCGAGGCTGGGGTCCAAATATTTGCCCCTGGCGGGGAAAAGTTTCCTGCGACAACACCGCTGCATCTGGGACCGTCGCAGCCCCAAAGCTTCTGCCCTTTCTCCGCGGGTCAGGGAACAAGAACGCTTCAGCAGGCCCGGGAGATTGCCAGTGGCACAGTTGCCAAGAATGAAACAGACACAGCTTAATGGGGACGCTGCTCTCAGGCCCTCTGCGACAAGACCAAAGCAGAGCCCAGCCCCGTGCTGCTCTCGACCCTTGAGACCTGAGCCCGGCGCCCACAGCGGCCAGCTCACCCGCACTTCCGCTCGCCCGAACATGGGCACAGCAATGGGAGGGCGCGGGACGTAACCTCAGACCGTTGCAGAAAACAGCTGCGCATTTCGCGCTGCGAAAACACGGGGAAGGGCGAGGCCCAAGATGCGCTACGATTCAGGCAGCTTTCTGACTTTGGCGTGCCTAGTTCTGGGGAGACACACCAAAGCAAGACACGCCCGTATATGCACTGCAAGAAACAAGGAAGATTTGGAAACTCAGCCGGCTTGCAGACCTCAGCCCAAGCATGCCTTGGACTGCTTGAATTGTAAGATGCTTTTGACCATGAGCATGTCGAGGAACCACATCCGTGTGGTGTAGGGCCCGAAAAAAAGCGACCCCGCCCATTTTGACACACACCGGTTTGGCCTGGGCAGCGTGCGGGAAGATTTCCCCAGGCTCACCGGGGGGGGGGAATTGCTCTGACTGGTTTGAGAGTAATATTTAGCCCATGGAGTTGCCAGTACTCAGTTGCCCAAAGCACCCAGGAAGAAAAGGTGATCACCTTTTGGGGCCACGACGAAAAATGGCGGCCAAAATGGGTCAAGAGGTCGATTCGCTTTGGACAAATTGTTC